TTTAGCAGAGACAGGGTTTCACCATCTTGGCCAGGCTGGTCTTGAACTCCTGACCTTGTGATCCACCCGCCTTGGCCTCCCAAAGTGCTGGGATTACAGGCGTGAGCCACTGCACCCGGCTTCAGGAAGCTTCTTAGAGACTGACCCTAAAAATCAGTGTTGGCCTCTCTAGATACCATCTCCAGGTGGCCCACTTCTATTGGCATACAGCTAGTGCTCAACTTACAACCACGGTCAGGACCGCGGACCAGTTGTAACACGATTTGATCATAAGTTGAGTAGGTTATATATACAGTTGAAATGGTGCACGCGGAGAAGGTAGTGCTGCCGGAAGCTGGTCCGCACTGTCGTACGCCCAGCTGGGCAACGTTTGCACTGCCAGATGCGGAGCAGTCATGGCTAGCGATTGTGGTCGTAAAGTCGAATGGTCATAAGTTGCATAGGTGGTAAGTCGATCAATACCTGTACTTTTCTTAGGATTGATGTTCACTTGTCCTCTAAATAATGCTTGCTTTTGGCTTCCTGCTGGCAATGTTTTGCCTGATAGTTGGGATGCTGTGCTCCTGTGTCTGTGTATCAAATAAGAACTTGAAAGTGAGCAAAATAACAGTGGTTTCTGAGTACTGGACTGTAAGATCAACTCATGGAAGAACAAAAATAATTGTGTGCACAGTCACCTTGAGGAGAAAGATAACCGTTGAATATATATCTTTTCTCCTGCTTCTTTGGGCACAGGGATAGTCACCCAGGATTTGATTTGTACAGTTAGCTTGACATGGAGACAGCTGTCTCTGTAAGAAGGGTTTATTGCTCACAGTTCCTCAAAGGATAGGAGGCATGTTATGCAACATAGGAAGGTCACATGGGACCAGGATAAGTCAGGAAGCAAAAGCAATGAGGGGAAAGCATGGGAAAAGCATTTATTGTGTTTTTTCAAAGGAAGGAGTGGGCGAGGCAGGGTAAGCTGCTAAGGAGGCCTAGAGTTGGGTAGTTTGAATAATTTCAGCAGGTTTTGAAACCTGTCAAAACAATAGGAATGGTTTCTAGTTAAATGATACCTGGCCCCGGGGTCATATAATGTGGGAGAACATCGGCTTGGTGTGTGAGAGTTTGGTAAGGCAGGTGATTGGGGATTTGAACTAAAAAATGACGGGTCTGCATATCAAAGGCATGCTAGAAGGCAAGTTGTTTGCTGTCTTTAGGAACTAACTAACATTGGGAGAGTAGTCCCTCTTGGGTTCATAAGGCTCAAAGTTGTAAAAACATCAAAATATATTGAAAAAAAAAGATTAATACAATGACTCCAGTTGGCCAATCATAAGACATTATGCCCTAGTCCCAGTGATTGGTTTAAAAAGTAGAGATGTGACCCAAAGCAGATCAATTACTCTTTTCTTTCACTATTTTATTATGTAAGGATATGATCCTGCATATATACATATTATGTTCCTTCTAGGAAACATATATCTATGTATGTATACACACATACACACATGTATACATATACACAGTCATGTGCCATTTAATGATGGAGATACATTCTGAGAAATACATTGTTAGGTGATTTTATTATTGTATGAACATCATAGAATATACTTACACAAACCTAGGTGGTATATCCCACTATACACCTAGGCTATTTGGTATAGCCTATTGTTCCTGGCCACAAGCCTGTACATCATGTTATTGTACTGAATATTGTAAGCAATTGTAACACAATTATAAGTCTTTATGTATCTAAACATATCTAAACATAAAAAGGAACAATCAAAATCTGGTATAAAATATAATAAATGGCACACCTGTATAGGGAACTTTCCGTGAATGGAGCCTGCAGGACTAGCAGTTGCTCTGAGTGAGTCAGTGAGTGAGAGGCGAGTGAAGGTGAAGGCCCAGAATATTACAGCTAGTGCTCGACTTACGACCACGGTCGGGACTGCGGACCAGTCATAACATGATTTGGTTGTAAGTTGAGTAGGTTATATGTACAGTTGAAATGGTGCACGCGGAGAAGGTAGTGCTGCCGGAAGCTGGTCCGCACTGTCGTACGCCCAGCTGGGCAACGTTTGCACTGCCAGACGCGGAGCAGTTGTGGCTAGCGATTGTGGTCGTAAAGTCAAATGGTCGTAAGTTGCATAGGTCGTAAGTCGATCAATACCTGTACTATACTCCACTGTAGACTTTATAAATACTGAGGCTACACTAAATTTATTTAAAAAATAAAGTAGCCGGGCGCGGTGGCTCAAGCCTGTAATCCCAGCATTTTGGGAGGCCGAGGCGGGTGGATCACGAGGTCAAGAGATCAAGACCATCCTGGTCAACATGGTGAAACCCCGTCTCTACTAAAAATACAAAAAATCAACTGGGCATGGTGGCACGTGCCTGTAATCCCAGCTACTCAGGAGGCTGAGGCTGGAGAATTGCCTGAACCCAGGAGGCGGAGGTTGCGGTGAGCCAAGATCCCGCCATTGCACTCCAGCCTGGGTAACAAGAGCGAAACTCTGTCTCAAAAAAATAAAATAAAATAAAATAAATAAAAAATAAAGTAATTATGTTACAATGTTACAATGACTACAAGTCACTAGGTGATAGGAATTTTTCACCTCCATTACAATCTTATGGGGCTTCCATCATATCTGTGGTCCATCATTGGCAAAATATTATTATGCAGAACATGACTATATATATATACACATATACACGTATGTACAGTGGCTCCTGGACTTAAAATGAGGTTACATGCTAATAGGCCCATTATAAAGTCAAAAAATTGCAAATTGGGGACCATGACCATCTCTGTGTGTGTATATACACATACACACACATATATGTATAGGTGTATCTTTTATTGTGTCTCACTTTGTTCAGCTTTGCATTTTTTACAGATTGAAGGTTTCTGACAACATTGCATTGAGCAAGACTACTGGTGCCATTTTCCAATAGCATGTGCTCACTTTCTGCCTGTGTCACATTTTGGTAATTGCTGTAATATTTCCAGCTTTTTCATTACTATTGTATCTATTATGGTGATCTGTGATCAGTTATCTTTGATGTTACTACTGTAATTATTTTGGGGTGTTATGAACCAAGCCCATATAAGATAGCGAACTTAATTGATAAGTGTTGTGTGTGTTCTCACTGCTCCACTGGCTGACCATTCCTTCATCTATCTTCCTCTCCCTGAGTATCCCTATCCCCTGAAACACTACTCTACTGAAATGAGGCCAGTTAATAACTCTACAATGGCCTCTAAGTGTTCAAGTGAAAGGAAGAGTCACATACCCCTTACTTAAAGCTAAAAGCTAGAGATGATTAAACTTAGTGAGGAAGGCATGTCTATAGCTGAGCTAGGCCCAAAGTTAGGCCTCTTGCACTGAACAGTCAAGTTGTGAATGCAAAGTCGTAGTTCTTGAAATTAAAACAGTGAACATACAAATGATAAGGAAGTGAAACAGCCTTTTTGCTTATGTGAAGAAAGTTTTAGTGGTTTGGATAAAAGATCAAACTAGATACATCATTTCCTTAAGCTAAAACCTAATCCAGTGCAAGGCCCTAACTCTCTTAAATTCTGTGAAAGCTGAGAGAGGTGAGGAAGATGCAGAAAAAAAGTTTTAGGTTAGCAGAGGAGGTTGGTTTATGAGGTTTAAGGAAAGAAGCTGTTTCCATAACATAAAAGTGTAAAGTAAAGCAGCAAATGCCGATGGAAAAGTTGCCACACGTTATCCAGAAGATCCAGCTAAAATCATTTGATGAAGGTGACTACACTAAACAACAGATTTTCATTGTAGATGAAACAACCTTATATTGGAAGAAGATGCCACCTAGGACTTTCCTGGCTAGAGAGGAGAAGTCACTGCCTGGCTTCCAATATTCAAAGGGCAGGCTTACTCTCTTGTTAGGGGCCAATGTAGCTGGTGACTTTAAGTGGAAGCCAATGCTCATTTACCATTTCAAAAATTCTAGGGCCCTTAACAATTATGCTAAATCTACTCTGCCTGTGCTCTATAAATGGAACAACAAAGGCTGGATGGTATATCACATCCGTTTACAGCATGATTTACTGAATATTTCAAGCCTACTGCTGAGACCTACTGCTCAGAAAAAAGATTCCTTTCAAAATATTACAGCTCATCAGCAATAGACCTAGTTACACAAAATCTCTGATGGAGATATGCAAGGAGTTTTATTGTTGTTTTCATGTCTGCTAACACAATATTCTAATCTGCACCCTATGAATCTAAGGGTAATTTTGACTTTCAAGTCTTCTTATTTAAGAAATATATTTCATAAGGTTATAACTATCATTACAGTAGTTTTTCTGATTCATCTGAGAAAAGTAAATTGAAAACTTTCTGGAAAAGATTCATGATTCTAGATGCCACTAAGAACATTCATAATTCATGGGAGGAGGTTGAAATATCAAAATTAATGGGAGTTTGGAAGAAGTTCATTTTAAACCACTAGGATGACCCTGAGGAGTTCAGAACTTCAGTGGTGGAAGAAACTGCAGATGTGGTAGAAATAGCAAGGGAACTGGAATTATAAGTGGAGCCTGAAGATGTGGCTGAATTGCTACAATTGATAAAACTTGAATAGATGAGGAGTTATTCTCATGGATAAACAAAGAAGGTAGTTTCTTGAATCTACTCCTGGTGAAGATGCTGTGAGCACTGTTGAAATGACAGCAAAGAATTTAGAATATTCCCTAAATTTAGTTGATAAAGCAGTGGCAGGGTTTGAGAGGATTAACTTCAATTTTGAAAGAAGTTCTACTGTGGGTAAAATGCTATCAGACAGCATCACATGCTACAGAGAAATCTTTCATGAAAGGAGGAGTCAATTAATGAAAAACATCATTGTTGTTTTACTTTTAAAAGTTACCTCAGCCACCCCAACTTTCAGCAATCACTACCCTGATCAGTCAGCAACTATCAATATCCAGATAAAATCCTCCACCAGCAAAAAGATTATTACTTAAGGCTCAGATGACTGCTGTATTTTTTTTTTTTAGCAATAAGCTATTTTTAAATTAAAGTATGTACATTTTTAGACATAATGCCATTGCATATTTAGTAGACTACTGTATAGCGTAAACATAACTTTTATATGCACTGGGAAATGAAAGAATGTGTATGACTTGCTTTATTGCATTGGTTTGGAATGGAATCCAAAATATCCCTGACACAGGCCTTTATACATACACATACACATATGCATATACATACACATATATGTACGTATGCCTGTACACACACACACACACACACACACCCCATGAACACACATCTATCATCTGGATAGCAACTGAATCCTGTATGATGGAGTCAGAAACACATGGGTTAAAATCTCAGCTCTTAAATTTACTACTTGTGTGACTCCGAGCTAGGTACATAACCTCAATTGAAAGTAGACATCTCAGGGTTGTGGTAAGAGTTAAAGAGAGTTTATTGTAGTTATTCTTGTATAGTAAGTACTCAATGAGTGGCAGCATCACTCCTGGCTTTGAGTTAAGCAGTTTAATTATTACCACATGTGATTCTCTGCAAAGCTGTAGCCCCTTTGGAAGGAATCTGAAAGACCTTTAATCTTCTTCTGTTGTCATGTTTTTATGGCATCCTTTCAGTATGAGTAAGATACCACACATAAAGCACTGGACAGGCTGGGCGCAGTGGCTCACACCTGTAATCCCAGCACTTTGGGAGGCTGAGACAGGTGGATCATGAGGTCAGGAGATCAAGACCATTCTGGCAAACATGGTGAAACCCTGTCTCTACTAAAAATACAAAAAATCAGCCGGGTGTGCTGGCATGTGCCTGTAGTCCCAGCTACTCAGGAGGCTGACGCTTGAGCCCAGGAGGCAGAGGTTGCAATGAGCTGAGATGGTGCCACTGCACTCCAGCCTGGGCGACAGAGTAAGACTCTGTCTTAAAAAACAAAACAAAACAAAACAAAAAAACCACCACCACAACAAAAAAACCACTGGACACTGTGAAGGGCACATAGTAGGTGTTCTAGAAATGTTGGCTTCACCCTTTGGAGATCTCCCTCTGGCACTGCTCTGGGCAGAGAAAATCCTGACCTATCAGTGGACCTCTCTTGTCTTTGGGACAGGATAGTCCCTGGGGAGAGGATGGTGGCACTGGGCTGCCACAGCTCCATGACCACCCATGCTTACATTTCTCATTTTATGTTCCTTAATACGTGACATTTTTTATTTTTGTTTTAGAAGATCACATCTTTTTGACACTCTTCTTCTGACCACACTACTTGAACTCTTCCTCTCAGACAGCCCTAGCTTTATACTCCTGGAAGAGAGGGCTGCATACATACCTTGCACAGATTCAGAATCACCGTGCCTGAGTTCTTGTAATTCTTCTTCTTGGCTTTATACTTGGGATTGATGCACTCCCACTGCACCTGAAAGAAGGGTCACAGTATGAGAATCTGCTTAGGGAAAAGCTGAGTCATTGAATAGGGCCAAGCTCCTAAGGTGCTGAGGACTGGAGGGCTGACAAATAGTCTGTAGGTGGTAACTCTTGCATTTACAGGAGCAATAAGGGGGGTGGTTGAGGGTGAGACTCTGCTGTCAGACTTCTAGGTTTGAATCCCAGCAACTCCATTTCCCTACGGTGTGATTTTTGGCAGATTACTTGTTTGCTCTATGTCTTGGATATCTTCTTTGCAAAATGGAGCTTATATCTATCTCATAGGATTATTGTGAAGACTGATTAATCCATGTAATAAATTTGGAATAGTACCTGGCATATATCAATGCTTACTATTAATATGGTCAAATCAAGCAGTAGAGGGAAGAAGAAATCTGTAGGAATACAGTTGAGTGATACCCAGATACTAAGACTTACTGCCTGAGAATTGACTCAAAAGGTAGAAAAATTTAGGAATAGTGAATGCTGACTACAGAAATTTCATAGGGACAGTAATAAATTTACATAGAACTTAACAAAGAACTAAAATAATGGATTGACATATGTCCCAACAGTGACACAATAGATCTCCAAAGGGGCCTTTTTGAGGGATATGATCAGAGCTATAGGAGTGGCTGGGAATTGAAGAGTCAGCTGGGAGCTAGTTGAAGAGTCAGCTGACTAGGAGAATAGGTCTCCAGCCTATAGAAGATTTAATGAGACAAAATCAACTGTGAATAAAATATCCAAAAGTTGTTGCCTGCTCTTCCCCACCATCCTATGAAAGATGAATCTCTGGATTTCTACTCAAGAGAAAGAATTTCCCTCCCTGAGAATTAGAAGTGTCTGAAACTGAAGTAGTTTCTGAGGCAGATGCAAATGGACAGACTGATATAGCAGTGGCCTTCAATAATCTATTCCTCTCGGTGTCCATGCATTTATATAGTTCTCTCCCACAAGGATGCGGCATTTAGTCACATGACTTGTTTCGGCCAATGGGACATTAGCAAATGTGATAATAGCAGAGGTTTGAAAAGCGCCTGTGTATTGGGGCTGGCCCCTCTCCTGCTTCTGTGAAGTTTTCAGGGTCATGTTAAAAAGCCTACAATGGTCTCCTGGAGGATACAAGTACACCTGGAGAACTATCCTGGCCATCCTGGCTGCTGAGGCACAAATGCAAGAGTGAGTTCTGTTGGCACCACATGGAGCACTATGGGGAACAGAGAAGATTTCAGCTAAAATTGCCAACCTAGAGAATGGTGAGTACATAGTGATTGGTGTTTTCAGCCAGGAAGTTTTAAGCTAAATTTTCACTCAGCAACTGATAACTGATACCGTAGTTTCTCATCACTGGGAAGGTGGCAGCAGGACTGGGCAACTACATAGGATTTGGAAGAGGGAGGTCTTATACCAGTGAAGGGTTCTCTATGATTCCTTCCAAATATGGGATTTTTGGGTGAAAGAAAGAAAGAAGAAAACATTCAAAGCAGAATCTAAAATCAGATCCCTAACCTTGTTTTTTTAACTTAAAGGCCTAATCTCTTAATATGTCCCTAATGAATGTTGCCTTTCATTCCTCCCTTTTTCTTTTCATTTACTCTCCAGGTGTGTGGAACTTGATGAACAAGGATTACAGTGCATCTCAAAGTAGATGTAGTATTTCTATACAAAAGAGCCCAAGTTCCTTCCAAACCCATCAAAACTGAAATTATCTTTTCCCCTAAAGCTTCCTCTAATATTTCAGTAAAACAGGTGCCTTAGGGATTTACCTAACAGTTGAAAAGAAAAGATACTAAAACTAGCTGTGCCATTTTTTGTTATTCTCAATTATTTCTATGAATCTCAATTTCTGCCATCAAGCAAGATATATTGAGTTAAAGATTTTGAATTCTATTAAAAGTTATAGTGATCATCCATGAAAAGTCTACTCACTTCCTTCTCAGGCTAAGATGAGGAAGGCCGGTTGGCTTAGTCAGGAGAGGGCTCCAAGGAAGTTGAAACAAACCTGTTGATATTCGGGGTCCTTGTGCTTGTTAGGTGGGTAGGGGGTCCTGATGGACCAGATCTAAATATTTTGCATCTGTCTTGGGATGAAGTTGGCATATAACTATGGGCTATACACTCTACTTTCCCAATCCCATTTAACTCTCCCCACAGCCCACTTTGATAGATGGAAGATGAGGCTTGGAGAAGAGAAGGGAGGCTTGCCCAGGCCATACAGGTAGTAACTGATAGACCTGGGATTCACACCCACATCAGTCTCATTCCTAAGCCTGGACTATTAACCACAATGCCTTCTTCTAGGAAGGTCCTGGAGAAACTCTCCTATTCTTGTAAGCTTCCCCTTTGGCCACCCCAAACTAAGGATGCTTATAAATGTTATTCAGGAAATAACCAAGGTTAATTAAGAATTTACCCTGTACCTATAGAATCATAACTCCCACAGGAAAAGGAAAGTTGAAAGATGCTGTCTCTGTTCTCTCTGATGCTACATAGTGAGATTCCTCAGGATTTCAGTTTCCTCTATCCTTTCTTCAATCCCTTCTCTCTAGGTGTACTCATCCATTCTCTTGATTTTAAATATCCTCTCTTAGTTGATGGCTCCTAAAATACATTTACAGGTAAATGTCTCCTCTGAGTGCCAGTTTTTGAAACCAGATTTTGAAAACTTCCTCATAAACTGGACCTCCCTGCCATAATTATTCCTCATCTCAGAAAATGGCACCATTTAACCATCTATCCTTGAGTCATCCTTTTCCACCTTCCCTATATCCAAGCCTTCAATGAACCTTGTAGCTCCTAGTTCCAAAATACATCTTAAGTCTATCCAATTTATCTATCTCTATATTTCCTTAACCCAAGTCATTATCACCTCTTATCTATAGTAGTAGCCTCCTTACAGATCTCCTGTGCCTCTCTTTAATTATCTGCACAGTAGCAAAAGTAATCTTTTAAAAAATTACAACCAATCATGTCATTCTCTAGCTAGAACCCTTTGCAGCACTGTCCAGTAGAATTTTCTCAACAATTGGAATATTCTGAATCTGCACCAGCCCCATGAGAATATTGAGTATTTGAAATGTGGTTAGCTTGACCAAAGAACTTAATTTGCTACTTAATTTTATTTTGATTAATTTAAAAATTTAAATAGCCACATGTAGCTAGTGGCTACTGCATAGGAAAGCACAGCTTCCACATGCTCTTGGCACATTTAGAAGAATCTGCCTTTCCTGGCCTCTGGCCTTGTTTCTCACCACATCCTATGAATGGTCTCTTCACTCTCTGCTTCAGATATACTGGTCTCTTTCCAGGTCCTCCACCACACCAAGCTCATTCCTGCCTCTGTACTTTGCAATACGATTCCTTTTGGTTCAGAGCCTTTTTTCTCACTCATTACATGTTGGCTTCTTTTTAATCCTTAAAGGGCCTCAGCTTAAAGGCCAGATTATCTTTTTTATATACATACTTTTAGAATTAAACTGTTCCTGTTTTGTAATAACATTTTGTCAGAAATTGTAGATGTCTTTTAATTTTTTTGTTTATTTTATTTGTTTTCTCTTCTATCCTAACTTTCACCTATCTGTAAGCTTCAGGAGGCCAGGGACCATGGCAGCATTGTTAATTATGGCGCATTTAGAGCCTGGCACAGTGCTTGGGATTTAGTAGATGCTACTTGATAAATATTACAGAATCAATAAATAAGAGAATATTTCCCACTATATAAATAACACCAAAATGGGGGCTGGGTAGTTGAACTAAAGTTTTTTCTGGTATCTCAGTGATACAGAAAAGCGCAATAGCATATGGTCCATTTCTTCAGTGGAACTTAAAAGGTTTCTCTCTGTTTGACAGCATTAGGTTTTGGTATATTTCACTTATGGTATGTGTTACGTTCTTATTTTTAATATCCTTTTAGGAGCCTAAAAATGAAATATTTCCTATATTTACTGCTTGGGCTATTTCTATTTATAGAAGTGGATAAGGCAAAACTTTATAAAACTCTTTAGAACTCTAGCAAGTGGTATGAATACTGTCATTGATTTACTAGCTAAATAGGTGTAGTTCTGCAAATTCAATAGAACAACAGTTTCTCTAGCTATAGTCCTTGTTAACTTGGGAATGAGTTTGGTTATAATTTAGTGTAGTTTTAACTGTGGCTCTGAAACTCTGCATCCTGGCTTGTGGGTGAAGGTCTCTGTGCGTTTGACAAGTTTCTTGTAATGCTGAGTACCTAAAAGAGCATTTACAGCAGGTTTTGCAGGAGCTAAGTAGAAAGCTGTCATTGTTTCCATTGAGTTTCCAGACCAAGGGTATGTGTTCAATAAATGGTCTGATTCAGATTATGCTTCTGACTCTAAAAAAATGTTAGTTCATTTCCATCCAGTTTGATTATATCCTGACCTTGCATATGAGAAGTTGAAAAATGAGTTGGGGCATCTTTAATCAGCACTTCTGACCAGAGCAGGCACAGAGGATTATCTCTAAAGAAAAAGACTTTCTCAGCCAAGCGCAGTGGCTCACACCTGTAATCTCAGCACTTTGGGAAGCTGAACTAGGTGGATCACAAAGTCAGGAGATCTAGACCATCCTGTCCAACATGGTAAAACCCTGTCTCTACTAAAAATACAAAAATTAGTCAGGCATGGCACATACCTGTAGTCCCAGCTACTCAGAAGGCTGAGGCAAAAGAATCACTTGAACCCAGGAGGTAGAGGCTGCAATGAGCTAAGATTGTGCCACTGCACTCCAGCCTATGTAACAGAGCAAGACTGTGTCTCAAAAAAAAAAAAAAAAAAAAAAAAAAAAAAAAAAAAAAAAAAAAAAAAAAAAAAAAAAAAAAAAAAAAAAAAAAAAAGAAAGAAAGAAAAGAAAAAGACTTTCTCAAAAGCACTGAGCCCTCAGCTTTCACTCCTTTTTGCTCCAGAAGGAGAATGAACTCTAGAATAAGAATGGCAGGTATCTTGGGTTGACTTGCCCAAGAAGCAAACTTTGAGGCAAGAATGTTAAAGTAAGTATTCCGTCTGGGAGGTGATACCAGGAAGTATGAATAGAGGGATGGGGAATTAGACAGAGGAGGCATCCCCAAAAGGGTGCACTTTCAGTTACCACTGTGGATAACTAGGTCCTGCTGGGGAACTCTGGAAAATTGTATAGAGAACATACCTCAGAGTTTTGCTAGTTGAAGGGCAAGGGAGCTGGGGTATCTATACACCAACTTCCATTAGGTATTTGTTGGGGGATACCTCCTGGAAGGTGTTACATCTCTGTCCACACTTCTAGCCTGCTCTGGGCATGGATAAAACAGGCTCCAGCAGCTAGAGAAAGCCCTCAGGCAAAGAGGTACTGCAGCTGGACATTGGGCAAGTGAACAATAAAAAGGTAAAAGGAGAAGTTTCATGAATAGAGCTCAGATGACTTCTTGATAGATATATCTACCTACCTACGTACCTATCTAGATATGATAATGATATATGATATGATATGAAAGCGTGTGTATCTGAGGAAAACACAGAAGGGGTTTAAGTTTCTGTGTGGGACAATGTGTCTTTGTGGTATGTGGTAGTGTTTGGGTACAGGTCTTGGCATCAAGTGTATAAGAGTAAAATGATGGCATTAGAAGAAAACCTGGTACACCTACGAAAATTTAGAGAATTCAAATAATTTCTCCAAAGCATTAAATTGTTGTTAATGTCACCAAATCATAGAAATATAGACCTAGAAAGAATATTACTGTTAATAGCAGATATTTTGAAAATGCTAGCTATGTGCTAGGTGCTCTGTTAGCACCTGGAATTATCTCATTTAATCTTCACAAAATTCTATGAAGTAGGTGCAATTATCACTCTTTTTTTTTTTTTTTTTTGAGATGGACTCTTGCTCTGGTTACCCAGGCTGAATTGCAATGGCGCGATCTGGCTTCACGGCACAATAGATAATCAGTCTTCAGGCTTTTTTCTTTTTTTTTTTTTTTCTTTTTTGGTGAGAAACGATCTTGCTCTGTCACCCAAGCTGGAGTACCATGGCATGATCACAGTTCATTGCAGCTTCAAACTCCTGGGCTCAGCCTACCAAGTAGCTGGGAATACAAGGGCAGTCCACCATGCCCAGCTAACTTTTGTGGTTTTTTTGGCATAGAATCTCCCTGTGTTACCCAGGTTTATCTTGAACTTCTGCCCTAAATGATCCTCCTGCCTTGGCCTCCCAAAGTACTAGGATTACAGGCATGAGCTACTGCACTTGGCCAGTATTTCTTTTTTTTTTTGGAAACAGTCTCGCTTTGTTTCCCAGGCTGGAGTCCAGTGGTGCAATCTTGGCTCACTGCAACCTCCATCTCCTGGGTTCAAGCCATTCTTCTACCTCGGCCTTCCAAGTAGCTGGGATTACAAGTGCACCACCACCATGCCTGGCTAATTTTTGTATTTTTAGTAGAGACAGAGTTCCACCACGTTGGCCAGGCTGGTCTCAAACTCCTCACCTCGGGTGATCTGCCCGCCTCAGCCTCCCAAAGTGCTGGGATTATAGGCATGAGCCACTGCACCCTGCCTCCTTGTTTTTTGAGACTGGGTCTTGTTCTCTTGCTCAGACTGGAGTGCAGTGGCATGCTAATAGCTCACTGCAGCCTTAACCTCCTGGGCTCAAGCAATCTTTCCACTTCAGCATCCCTAGTAGTCAGGACTACAGGCACATGACACCATGCCTGGCTAATTGTTTTCTTATGTAGATTTATCATTTTTTTCTGTAGAGATGGGGTTTCACCATGTTGCCCAGGCCGGTATAGAACTCCTGGGCTCAAGTGATCCACCCACCTTGGCCTCCCAAATTGGTGGGATTACAGACGTGAGCCACTGCGCCCAACCAGATTTGTTTTTTTGAGACAAGGTTTCACTCTTGTTGCCCATACTGCAGTGCAGTGGGACAATTTCTGCTCACCACAACCTCTGCCTCCCATGTTCGAGTGATTTTCCTGCTTCAGCCTCCTGAGTAGCTGGGATTACAGGCATGCACCATGACACCAGGCTAATTTTGTCTTTTTAGTAGAGACTGGGTTTCTCCATGTTGGTCAGGCTGGTCTCGAACTCCAGACTTCAGGTGATCTGCCTGCCTCGGCCTCCCAGAGTGCTGGGATTATAGGCATAACCCATGGTGCCTGGCTGGTTTCTTTTTTTTTTTTTTTTAAGACAGAGTTTCTCTCTTGTCACCTAGGCTGGAGTACAGTGGTGCGATTTTGGCTCACTGCAACCTCTACCTCCCACGTTCAAGTAGTTCTCCTACCTCAGCCTCCTGAGTAGCTGGAATTATAGGTGCCCATCACCATGCCCAGCCAATTTTTATATTTTTAGTAGAGACGGGGTTGCACCATGTTGGCCAGGTTGGTCTCCAGCTCCTGACCTCAGGTGATCCACCCGCTTTAGACTCCCAAAGTGCTGGGATAACAGGCGTGAGCCACCATACGCAGCCCAAATCTGTCCTTTTCAAACATTATGTAGATTTGCCTGTTAGCAAATAATCTCAGAGTCAGTAATAGTATTGGTCATCTTGTCTAATCCCCCTGCTTTTTTTTTTTTTTTTAAAGTAGAATCAGGGTCTTGTCCAAGCTAGTCTTGAACTTCTGGACTTAAGTAATCCTCCTGCCTCAGCCTTCCAAAGTGTTGAGATTATAAGAATGAGCCACCTGTGCTTGGGCTATACTTTTTTGATGTTTCATTTTCTCCACTGTATTCCAGCCTTCTTGAATACATTGATGTTGAAGAACAGGCCTCTGAAATACATCCATTTATATTTCCAAGTAGTTTAATTCTTAGACTATTTCCAGAAATACAAAAATGGGTGATGACGTTTCTCCCTGGAGAGGAGAATCTTAGTTTTCTTTTCTTTTTTTCCCTGAGACGGAGTTTCACTTTTGACTTTTGTTGCCCAGGCTGGAGTGCAATGATGTGATCTCGGCTCACTGCAACCTCCGCCTCCTGCCGGAGTGATTCTCCTGCCTCAGCCTCCCAAGTAGCTGATATTATAGGTGCCTACCACCACTCCCGGCTACTTTTTGCATTTTTAGTAGAGATGGGGTTTCACCATGTTGGCCAGGCTGTTCTCAAACTCCTGACTTGAGGTGATTTGTCCGCCTTGGCCTCCCAAAGTGCTGGGATTACAGGTGTGAGCCACCACACCTGGCCAAAAATATTTCTTTATATGTATTTCCTACCTAGTTTGGCAACCCAAAATAAGTGCCCATTACATGATGCCACTTGAAACATCTGTAGATAGCTGTTATTGTCATACATAAATACCTGGAATATGTCACTAAGGGCATTGCTAAGTACAAAATTAAAATATTGTTATTTTGCATCAGGGAAGTTGTTTTCAGATCAGAATAAAATTGCAACCTAAATTGCTGCTTAGTAAAATTTTTCTCTTGACTAAAATAACCAGGAAGTGATCTGCTTCATGATTTTTCAAGATCCTTGTTTGTAGAGGTATCATATATGGTATATTATTTTATTTTTTACCTAACAGAATTAAAACAAGCTTCAGAAAGTAAGCTTTTAGAAATACAGACTGAAAAGAACAAACAGAAGATTGATTTGGACGGTATGGAAAACTCAGAGAGGATAAAGATCATACGACAAAACCTACAGATGGAGATAAAAATTACTACAGTTATTCAACATGTGTTCCAGGTAACATTTATATAAACTAATAAGGAAGGTAAATAACTTTTTTTTTTTTTTTTTTGAGATGGAGNGTAGCTGGGATTACAGGCACACATCACCATGCCCAGCTAATTTTTTGTATTTTTAGTAGAGACGGGGTTTCACCATGTTGACCAGGATGGTCTCGATCTCTTGACCTCATGATCCACCTGCCTCGGCCTCCCAAAGTGCTGGGATTACAGGCTTGAGCCACCACGCCCGGCCGCAATTATCACTTTATATTTTAGGTGAGAAAAATGAGGCATGGAGAGATTAAGTCACTTTTTCAAGGCTACACAGCTAAAGGAGATTAGAAATACTCTCATCTCACCTTTCCATTTTACTAATGGAGAAACTGTAACGTTTGGGGTCAGTGTCTTTTCCAAGGACACACAATTGCTTAGGGTTGGGCTAGTTCCAGAATCTAGGAACTCACATCCCACGATGCTCCTTTCTTATCACATGTAATCATGCATTGATATTTTGCCTCTCACTGTTTCATTTGTAGCTGGGTGCTAAGGATGTATCATAGAGACTGCCTGGAGGCAAACACCCACACAAGCGGTTGACCATGTACCTGTTTCCCTTCCATTGCTCCTCTCATCTCCTTGAATGTCGAGGTGAATTCTCCAATGAAGTCATGCTTGCCATTGGAGTCCCAGTCCCATACTATGCACTGTAAGAAAAAACAATTATCTTTCTTAAAAGATTAAGAATGTAGCCACAGCAGCTGAAGACATTGTAAACTTTATGACAAAGAGTAGATGAAAGATGTTTTGTCTGGAACCAAAGCCTGGGAGTCTAAGATTGGAGCATGTAGGTTGTCATTCTGTTTTCTATAGCCCTTTGATTGGACTTTTTGCCACAATTTGCAAATGGTCCTGTGATGCAGCAGTGTCTACAATGATGGCCCATTTTTCAGATAAGGCCAGCAAGACCCACAGGAGGTAAGTGACCTGCCAAAGGGACCTTCTAGTGAATGAAAACCTGGGACTTGAAGGCAGATGTCCTGCCTCCAATTTCAGTGCTGCTTTATGAATAGCAGATAGACTCGCTGGTTTGCACTGGAATCAAATGCCTGAGTCCATGTATGTAGCTTCTACAATGGCAGCTCCTGCTTCATGATTCGAATGGGGCCATATTAATGACATTTTTCTTTTTCTATTTTTTGCTGAAGTCAAAAGAGCAATAACAACAAAAATTATTAAGAAGGCAAAAAAGTGAAATCTTTAAATGTACCTATGTGAAAAATGGTTGGAAAATAGTGGACACACAATATCAGATATTTACCACACTGGGAAATATTATGTACCCATTACACACAAGATGCAACCATTCCCTTCTAACAAAAAGGCTCCTTATAACAATGTTAAGGATAAATCCTGGGCTCCCGAGTGATACTTTTTAAAGTGACTAGATTGAATCAGCACCAATCCCTCTGCTTGGTCACACGTCTAAGCGAAGAAGAAGGTCTGCATGTATTCCCAGGGTGGAGGCTGTACTGGTATCTTAGCTTACTTTAGATATCATTTCTATATCTTAAGTTAAAGATTTGCAGCAAAGAATCTCAGATCTCAAATAAGATCAAGGCAGCAAAGGGGACCTTTTGCTCAAAGGTTTTCCTTGTAATATTGGGGATCAAAGAGATAGCTCAGTCCTTCTTCAGGATGCAGATCCCACTAGCCAGTCTTGCCTGAAAAAATGTGACTTGGTAATCTGCAGATGCCTCACAAATCTACAATATGATCTGTCTAAAATGAAACATCATTTCCCCCTAAATTTATTCCTACTCATTTATTTTCTGTCACAGTGAACTGCACCAACACTTATACAGTTGCCACAAACAGAAAACTGGGCATCATTCTGGATATTCCTGTCTCCACTCACCCTCCCACATCAGGTCCTCACCATTCTGTTTCCTAACTATGGCTTGACTCCAGCACTTCTCTCCATTCCTGCTGCTCCTTCTCATCTGCATTCCTACAACAGTCTCCCAGCTTGTCTTCTTATGGCACTTACACTCTCATACTCCTTATAACCCACTAATTATGTTAATTCCCTGCTTAAAATCAAAATGTATATAGGCTAGCAAGTCTTTCATGATCTGACTTCCTCAATACTCCCCAATTCACCCTTTATGATCCATGCTTACTGTTTTAGTCAGGGTTCTCCAGAGGGACAGAATAGGATACACGTACATATGAAAGGAAGTTTATTGAGGAGAATTGGCTCACATGATTACAAGGCAAAGTCCCATCATGTTAGCCCATCTGCAAGCTGCGAAGAGAGAAGCCAGTCGTGGCTCAGTCCAAGTCCGAAAGCCTCAGAGCCACGGAAGCTGACAGTGCAGCCTTCGGTCTGTGGCCGAAGGTCTGAGAGCCCCCAGGAAGCCACTGGCACAAGTCCCAGAGTCCAAAGGCCACAGAACCTGGAGTCTGGTGTCCAAGGGCAGGAAGAGTGGAAGGAAGCATCCAGCATGGGAAAAAGAAGGAAGTCAGAAGACTCGGCAAGCGAGGTTACACCACCTCTTCCACGTGCTTTGCTCTAGCTGTGCTAGCAGCTGATTGGATAGTGCCCACCCATATTGAGGGTGTCTTCCTCTCTCGGTCCACTGACTCAAATGTCAGTCTCCTCTAACAATACCCTCAAAGACACACGCAGAAATAAGACTTTTCCAGCCACCTAAGCGTCCTTCAATCTAATCAGGTTGACCTCCTAATATTAACCATCACACTTACAGTCTTTGAAAGTTTCTCTAAAATGGGGTTGGTAGGAATGAAAAACATTTGCAATGGCCTTTTTAAGACATCAAGAAAAACTAATTTCTCAGCTCCTGCTATCTCTTTAAATATGGAGGATTTTGCAGATAATTATTTTGCCTAAGAAATATTAAGAAGCCCTTTGGTTAGGAAGGAGAATGCATTAGAATAAATAAGAATGGAAGAGATTAAGACAGAAGGAGCTAAATTTATCTGCTGAAGAAAGTAATGGTCAAGTTGAATTTTCTCTTTGATAACAACTAGAGACACAGAAGTGAGTAAATCCAAGACATGTGAATTGAGAAGAAATTAGGGTAGGTTTCCTCAGAGGGCTGAAGATGGACCCAAGTTTGGGGTAGGAGGAGGGGAGACACATAAGGAATTTTGAAAACTGTGATGTCTAATTTTCAAGGTGAGATTATTTATATATGTCACCTTTCTATTCCCCCACTCCCAACTTGCCCTTCTTCCACAACCCCAAGATTCCAACAAATCTGCTACCCATAACATCATTATGCTGATGATGACTTGCAGAATAAAGAAGAGGGGCTGTGTCCATATCGTTGGGGATAAAGCAGACCAGAAAGTAGTGTGAGATGGCCCACAACAATGACTGAGAACTGAGTCGGGGGCAGGACTACGGAGAGACAGTTTGACAGGGAAATCTAAGAGTGGAACACTACAGAAATACTATGGAAGGTTGTTGGCTGTTCTGCTAACCTGGGTCTCTAAGTGAGGGTAGTGCAGAACTCCCAGATGACCTATGTGTAGGTAAGAAATAAACCTTTGTTGTTTTCAGCCATTGAGATTACTGTGGCATAACGTAGTCTAAGAACCATCTAAGTATTTAAAGTACTGTCATAGAAAAAGTTATGACAATTTATTTTTTCTCATTCCAAAAGTGGGATAAATGGAATTTTAAGAGGTTACAAAGAACTAACAAAGGAAGCATTTTCCAATAAACCTGTACCAAACAAAATAATCTATTTGTGAAAAACTGTTTTATTGCTAGAAATGTTCAAGCAGAAACTGCAGGAACACATGCAAAAAATGTAGCAGAGAAAGTCAAGCAGAGAGTTATAGAAAAATCGGTGGGATGTTTTTGAAGTTTCTTCTAATTCAGAGATGCTAAGAGTAGTCCTAGTTGTATGGGATGCAAAATGAAGTCAATGCAAGGCTTAGCTCACTCTGCTTGAAATGCTATGCAATGCAATGTAGCTTTGATAAGAGTGACGGGAACCCCTTGCATTCAAGGTAGGATGAAGTTTTACCTCATTTTTCCAGCGAACAGTGGAACAAATAAATGATTCAGTCATTTGGAAAAATTGCTCAGGGTGGGCAGTGTGATCATCACAATGTGGAACACTGAATTGATCCACTGGCTGTTACAATCAGGTGTTTTACTCTCTGCGTGCCAGCTCCTTCTTATTGACCCTGACACTCACACACTCCTTACCTGGAGAAAGGAGCAAAAGAAAGTTTGCTGGGCCTAGACATAGAAAGAAGAAGGGTGGCTCCTGGGACCTTGTATTTGAGGCTCATAACTTTGACTGAGAGTAAGAATAGCCCACTGAATGCCTGCATCTGACACTCAGATAATTATTCTCTTACCTTTGGAAGGAGCAAATAAAAAGGCAAAGGAGGCAGAAGCAAGTAAAAGAAGTGGGAGCAGCCTTTTTAGCACTCTCCTGAACTGGGAAAGAGCAGGAGTCTCCTTCTTTAGCGACAGGGCACACACCCCATTCACCCCTTCTTTGCTGTCTCTTAGATTTCCCATCATGCTTTGGTGAATTACTGTCCCCCCTTAACCTGCCAGCCACAAGCTTTTAAGATGTTTGCAATGTGCTCTCTGGCTGGGGCAGAAAGGGAGTGACTACCAGGCCTCCCTGAACTGGAGGATGAGTCAGGCTTGACAGAACTCCATGGGGGGGCCTCTCAGCAGCAGCAGTGCTGCTTACAGGGGCCTGTTCCTTCAATCAGCTGGCATTCCTCTCAGGGCAATTGTAGAATTTTATTTTGACCTTTCTGAGAAGGGATCGCAAAGGAAGAAAGACACAGTGAAGCAGACAAATAAAAACACTGCCTTTCCTTCTCTCTCTGGCATAAAGCTGGCTTATGACAGCTCTGATTCAGCAGACAGAGGAACGCATCTTGGTGAAAAGTAGACAGATCAACCACCCTGAAGAAAAACTGAGACAGAGGCAGAGTCTTTGGTGTGAATCAATAAGAAGGCCTTGGCACATCTGTGAAAGTATGGCACCTTCAAACTATCTACAAGTCAGAAAACCTTCTCAGGTTCTTCATCTCACAGAGAAGTTTAGGAATAAAATCTTTTAAAACACGTGAGCTTGACAGATGGCCTAGTTAACTCCTTCCTTTTACAGAAAAGAAAATTGATGGCAGATAAGTGACTTATGCAAGTTCACCCAGTACAGGGTGGACTAAAATCTGGTTTTCTTACCTCCCTAATTTCACCACTACAACACAAGCACAAATGATAATAGTTAAAAAGTATATAGTGTATACTATGTGCCAGACATTGTTTGGAGCACTTCATACATATTAACTCACTTAATGCACAGAACAACTTATTTTATGCTTATTTTTACAGATGAGGAAACTGAGGCACAGAAAGATGAAGGAACTTTCCAGAAACTACACAACTAACACTAGGTACTAATTGAACTAAAGGAAGTTTAGCATCATAGCTTGTCTTAACTGAGCATCTTTTATAAAGCCAGGCCATTTGTGTGTATGGTCTTACGTTCTTTACAATAATCATGACATGACAATATTATTACCATTTATAGGTTAACTGCCATTCACAGGTGCCATTTACAGGCTTGGAGAGGGAATGTGACTTGACTAGACACCTGGTAAGTGACAAAGGTGGATCTGAACCCAGGTATTTAATGTC